AATGGAATTGAATTTAATACACGAAGAAGAAAAATCTCAGTGTAAAAATCTGCCAGACTCTGATGTAATTGCTTACGAGGAAAATATAAGAAAAACTCGCGCAGAGCGTTCCGCTGAGGCTAAAATTTAATGACTCCCCTTTTTATTTTTCTTGCTCGTTTGTAGGAGTTGCCGCGCGTCCACAAATTAACGAGACGCTTTTTAATAATGATAAAAGCCGCCACAGTGCGGCGAGTGCGTGCGTCGCTGGCTGCCTACATTCATTCATTCACGTGCGAGTGCAATCTCGTTAATTGCATCGCTGGTTTGTTTCATCTTTCTCCCTGCTGGCTCGCCTGCCCACCGTGTTTGCACTTTGCAACTCTGCATTAAAATGCGGCTCCACTGTTTGCCGTTTGAAACGAATACAACATATATTATATTCTCAGCTGTGGGGAAAACGCAGAGCTGCACATTTCCAGGATTAGTGTTGGGGAGACGCGAGCAGTACACGCAGAGGTGTTGCGACCGCCGCACAAAAGACGGCAAACATGGAACTATTTGCATATTTCCAACCCTGTCTGAGCGTCCACAAACACAATCAAAGTGCCGCAGGCCAAAATATTTTGTTTTTAAGTTTACGGTCAAAGGATGAGTTTGAAGCAGGAAATGGATTTGACGTTCTTGACAAATAAAGTAATAAAACGGGATTACGCAAGAAACTTTTTTGAGCTGTCCACAGTTTTAACAAAGTTGTTCGTTCATAAGATCTAAAATTTTTCAACAATTCTAATAATTTACATTAAAAAATTAGAAACTTGGAATTAAGAAGATTTTTTGAAAATACATCGTATTTGATTGATATTGTTTAACTTTTTGCATTTACTTCGAAATTATTATTGTCAATCAAATCACAGAGGCCCATATCAAGATTAACCAAATAAATTTACCGAAGAAAACTCGCTAGTTTCACATCTTTGAATTACCTCAAGCATTTTGCCAACACAGGGACTCGCTTTTTTCACCAAATAAGTAAAGCTCGTTAACGCTAAATGTTTCTTGCAAAATCTGTGAGGCGTAAAAACGGAGGCTCAGTTTTCCGCAGCGGCAGAAAAAGACTCTCACAATCAGCTCTGCTTTTGTTTGTTTATTTTAATTAGCGACTTGACGAGTGCTGGTTTTGCACACGGCGGCGGCGCTAAATAATGATCTCTGCGGATCTTTTCGGTATGCATGAGCGGCCAAGTGGAAAAATTGAATTGCAAATCAAATTAGATTTCTCGGCGTGTGCGCCTCTCAATGCTGATGGAGCTCATTTGATGCCGATCGAATTTCCACCGCAGCTGATGGATTGAAACGTGCACAAATGATAATTTATTGTTGCTTTCCCCAGAAAACGAAACAAATTATTTGAGACGAGGATGCATTATTAATCCTAAAATAATTTGAATCATTAACAAAACTCAAATATAAGAAATACATTCAAATAATACTTTCTTACCCTTAAAATAATTAAATTTAAAAGTTTATTTCCAATTAAATCAGTTTGATTTAATTTATTCAAGGGTAAATTTTGTTCTAACAGTTATGATTTTTTTTTTATCGACTAGTTCAATGAAATAAGTCTTTTTTTAATAATTTCGCTGTAGTTGCACATAAAGAGAATCACCTCTGTCATCCGCATTGGAGGGAAAGTGCGAATTCAATTTCCTTTCGTACACACACGCCGCTATATTACGACTGTATATGTGCTCCTGTGTTTATGCATCACGCCCGTCGACAAACAGCAAACAATGAATGAGGCGCGCTCCTCTCGTCGTTTTGTTTACGTTGGATCTCTCTCTCTGCTCAAAGTGCCATAACTCAAGCGGAGCATAATTATACAACAACTATGCACTCACTTCCTTTGCTAAACAACCCCATCGCGAGTCTCTTATCACGCAGGTAGTAAATAATAATGTCGATCCGGAAGAGGGGTCGGCTTTTGCTTTTCCGAAAAGGCGCAATTTCCTCTGCGAATAAATTTCAACGCGGCGGAAAAGTTTCTCATTTTTTGACGCCTTTCTTATTCCATATTTTGTCAGGTGACACACGCGGCGTGTGCAGTTGCTGAAAATAACTTCACCGGCAGGCGGGCCCCATGTGCGCCGAGTTGATGGAAAATAAAAAATGGACAAGCCGTGGAATTTTTTTTTCGCACCCCTCCGAGAAAATGAGAACGACTTTTTAAAGAGTGAACGAGGGGAAGACCTGCTGAAAATGCAGATTTGCCCGAGATGAAAAATGTCAGATAAAAAAAATAATACCGACTTTGAGAGAGCACGAAACTTTTGTTTTTGATTCATCGAGCCGGAAAAGCTTCTTAATATTTTGCTTGGCGATGAGTTGTTGGTCGGCTCGCTTCCCCTGCAGCCATAAATTATTTGCCGTGTGCAATCTGAGAGATTTATTTGCTGCCGGGAAACAATAACCAACCAACCACCTGACATTTTCCGCACCCTCTTCCCTTCGCAGATTGCATCCTGTACTTTTTTAATATCAGCCGATGAAAAGAAAAAAGAGCTGCGAGGCAGTTTTCCAAAGTATAAATGAAAAGCACGTCACGTCCACGTGCATTATGCAATTTTTCCCCGCCTAAATCACAATTTGCAGCCAAGTTGATAAATAAATCACGGCGGCGTGCAATTAAAAGTTTGTGTGCACATCGAGCTCTCTCTCGTGCGTTTTATTACGAAAAACAACATCCCGGCGTGTTCCGGCTATGCAACTTGTGATACATATTTTACACGTGTACTTTTGCATGCGAAACCCCGGCCGGCGCATTTATTAATTATGAAGCAAACGAGCACCTTTGCCCGCTTTTTTGCCTTTTCTGCAAAGCGTGTATTTATTTAGCACTTGGAATTAATTCCGCTGAAATTTATACCCCGCCGACTTTACATAGGTAGGCGTTTTATTATGCTTGCCGAGTCTGGCTTTAAAACGGCGGTAATAATATCGCGAGTGCGATATGGCTCGTAAATTTGGAATTTATTGCTCGCTTCTTGCGCCGTTTTTCCTTCCGTCGGGCAATTCATTCGAATGCGTCCTGAGAGAAAAATGGTGCTATTGCGTTTTCTTTACAGAAACGACGCGCAATGCTTTTACTGCTGCCCGTAAACGACAATTCGCAGGCTCGAGAAGCCGATTTTATTTGTTTTCGGATTGGACTTCCTTCCGGTAGGGATGAATTCGGCACAAGAGTGTGGGCGAAATTCGCAATTGATTTAATTTTACATTGAAATAAATTTTGAAAGTTTAGCTTTGAATATTCTAAATTTAATAATTTAATATTTTTAAACACCAAAAATTGAGAATAGTAGCAAAAATTATAAATTTTGAAAGATCTGTAAATAATGTAATAAAAACATGGTAATATTTTGAATCTTGCAAAAAAAAAATGGAATTTCATTTTCGTATTTACTGAGCAGCTTGACTGTTGCTCATGATGATACTCAGACCGCCAAAATCCCTCCAATTAAACGACCATTTGTTGATTCAGAGTGCCGGCGGGACGGCTTATTCATCGCGGTGCTAGAAAAGTGGCGAGCTCTCGCATGTGTCGGCGCCGAAAGGCGATTTTTCAATTTCGGAACGACCGCAAAGTGCCCCTCGTGCGCGAGTACGCAGGGCGCAATCCGGCCGATGTAGCATTCACGAGTGCTAAAGTCTGGCACGGACGCCAACGATGAGTTTGAATAATTCAAAAGAGACGTGTGTGAATTTTCTTTTTGATACGGCTACTTTTCGCAGGCATCCGTACTGTTTAATTCACATCCAGGACAGGCATTGCAGGTCGCAAACAGTACAACTCGGGCAGTAAAACGGCGCGCCTATTGAATTATTGAACCGAATTCCATGTGCGAGTTTTATTACATTAGTCAACGTGTTGCAAATGCTGAGTTTATTGCCCTGCTGTTTGTTAATTTAATGTTTGTCGCTGAATAATTATGGGTTGTGGCCGGTTCGGACCAGTGAGTGTTTTGCGACAGGCTTAATTTAAATACATAATAATTAATTATTAATTAGTTTTTGTGGTATTTCACAAGTCTTATCAACGAAACATACATTAATTTTTGTCAAATTTATTATTCGGTATATAGATTAAAAATAATTTTTGAAGAACAGTGGAAAAAGTCAGTAAAAAAAAATAGAAAAAATTAATATACCTGAAAAAGTTGTTAACTACTGAAGGTTTTTTTAATCGAATTTACATTAATCAAGATGCACTTGCAACAAAGAAGTCAATTTAACCTGGGAAACGCAAATAAATTCCTCTCTCTAATGAAATTCAGCGCACTCTCGCAAAATGCAATAATATGCTGCGGTGAGCGACGCGCGCCAAGCACTCGGAATTTCCTTATTTTATTTTGTATCCGTCTCTCGTTGCGCAGCCCTTCCGCCCGATGCACCCTTTCTGTGAGAGTTTCCACTCTGCGGTGCTCACTCCTGTCAGCTGCACTCAAAAGAAAGGGCAAACTTTCGAGCGGTGGATAAAGAAAATAATAAAAATGATTGCACACTCTTAGCGTGCACATTCCGTCCTACCATTAGTTTCGTTTGGATAACACTTGGAAGAAAATTGCAAATATCTTGTTCACTGAACTCTTTCTGGCGGAAAAGGGCAAAAACTTGCATAAGTTTAAGGAATTTATTTAAGGAATAATCACATTTGAATAGAATTTTGAATATTATTGGATTATTTTTTAACGCTGCAAATTTTTTTTTCAATGTAACAATTTTTACAATAATTTGGTTCAATTAGATCGTCTCTGCAGACTATCCGAATGTTTAATTGACTGTAAATTTGAAGTTCATTTCATAAGAAAGTAAAAAAGTTATATTTTCTTTAAAAAAAAAGCATAATTTGCGAATAGCGTCTAAAATGCAATGTAAATTAAGCATACTTTTTAACATGAAATTTTTTTATTGACCGAGAAGAATATAAATAATTTTTTTAATTAAAAATTCCTTTGTTTCAGACACAAAAGAAAGATGCAGAATTTCCTGCCTTGCAAGAACTCTCCGCAGAACCACTGTGATGTTTCCGGGGCCAACGCCGTCATCTACGAGGACCTGACGAGCACCCACCTGCGGGCCAACCACCTGCCTACGGTGGCGCCGCCCTCCATCGAGGTGAATATCTCCAGAAACTCTGTGTGCTTTTTTCCTCTGGATCTGCATGATTCTTCTCTTTTTGCTCTGGCGGAAAAGCTAAAAAAAGTATAACGGGCAAGCTGTCGCCGCCGCTTCGTTGGGGCTGACGACTTCGTCAGCTGCGCCGCGATCTTTCTTTTTAATATCGCCGCCGCACCTTTATTACAACAAGCGACCATTAAATTGCATTAAATCTGGCTGCTGACTCAATTATTGCCGACGGGGGTTGGATCAAATTCCGCTGCCTTTACGGCTCCGGGCTGCTTTTACTGCGCCCTTTTATTTTGAATACTTAAGCAGGCAGCAAGCGCGATCCGTTCTCTACGTGCGCCGCCGCTCACTCTCGTTAAATTTTCAAACAACTCCTGATAATCACCGGCTCGGCAATTTTTTCTGGCTTTATTTGCGCGACGTGAGGTGGCTGCTTATTAAACTCGCGCGGGCGTGGGGCAGAAAGTTTCCAGGTTAAAAAACGGCTCTGCCCAATTCATGCCTATATTCTAAAAAAAAAAAAAAACCATTTGAAGGAAACCACAAAAAGGCCTAAAAGGAAACGTTTAAAATAATAATTCACTGGAAAATTAGGGATCACCTTTAAACGCTTATGAACTGAAAAAGCACCATTAAGTAAAATTTTTAATTTATAATCATCTAAAATTACCTATTTGATGGAAAACTAACTATTTGTTTCCGAATTGAGCGAGGGAAACCTTATTTCGCCTAGTTTTAGATTTTCCACCTTTTATCACTTTTAAAATATCACCTACAGAAAATTTGCCTGATTAAAAAATTTTCACCTTGAAACATAATTGATGAGTCAAAATTAATCACTTATTAAGCTTAAAAACACCTATTTCAGCTAAAAAATTACTTGATTAGGTGCTTATTTCACCAACGAAATTTACATTTTCCTAAAGTCTAGTAAAAATAAATAAGGTGCTGTTAAAAAAAATACAATAATTGGCTTCCTTATTGTGAGATGATTGAAATGAATTTTCAGTCAACTAAAAATCATAAACTGATAACGTATATCCTTAATTTAAGGGATGGTATAAATTTGCATCCACCCTTATTTTCTTTTCGGACTTTTCCTGTGTCTCTTTTTGCCTTTTTCAAATGGTGACAGGTAGAAATTCGCCGCGCTGGAGCATTTCGCAATTTGGAAGCGGCAATTAGTCGCCAAATTCGTGGAGCAGCAAGATTACAATTTATGCAAATTATTATTGTTGCCGAAAAGAGAGAGGAGGGCACTCGAGCCGTGAAATTGCAGTCAGTCGAATAAAGCAAAAATTTAGCACACGGAGAACGAGAGAGAAAGGCAAAAGTAATATCGCACAATTGCCTCGGCTCGCATCCACTTTCATTAACCAAGCCATTGTCTTTTCCGCGACAATTTATTTCGGCCGCGCCATCCTTCATGCGAAATGCACCTGACCCCGGTGGCAAAAATTTAAATATTCGTCCCTCTCTCTCTGTGTATGCTAATTGAGCCAATAAAGAGCGTTTCGAGTTTATCTTTGGCTGCAGCAGCATCGGCCAGAGAGTGTATTTATTTATGACGATGTTATCTGGCCGGGTACGCCGCCCTAATAGCCGCTCTCGCTGCTCTGCGAAATCGCACCCCGGATGAGCCGCGCGTGCACCTTTTCCTGCCGTTATAAATTAAAGCTCCACCGAAATGAGAGAGAGAGCCAGAGCCGCCGGCGTACGGAAGAGTGGCGGGCAACGCACCCGCCGTTTTATTATGGTCCGTGCTGCTGCTGCTGCTGCTGCTGGATGTGCTTTTTTGTTTCATCACGCTTTACATATTCATGGCGCAATGGACATTTATACAGCGGGTGGCGGATTATAATTACTTTGCGCACCAATCGGCATGCGTTCCGCAACACCGAAATTCTGAATCGATAATTTCAATTGCCTTTAATGACTGAATATGTGGAATTGGGGAATTCGACACACAAAACCGGTTGATTTTCAATCAAAAATTTGATACTTCTGATGAAACCTGCAGGAATAATGATCATGTTTCCAAATTTTGGCAAAGGATTTCAAAATAAAATTACAATTTTTGACATTATTTTTACTTCAAAATATCAAATCTTTGAAAAAAAAACTGGGTAACAATTATTTCTCCTGCTTTTTTTATTGTTCCTATTATTTAATACGTAAATTTTGTCTACCATTCTTATTTTTGAAAACCACAACATTACAATAATATTGAATAAAAATTATAATGTTAGTGTTTGCCTTTTTTCTAGGCTTGCTATTCATCTTCAAAATGAGATCCATTACCTTGAAATGAGCCTTTGATATTATCTTTTGGACTGTTTCGAACTTAAATTTCAAATAAATTCAAAAATACACATATGCAACCTGCTTTACACGCTTGCCGAGCCGGTTGCATTTGAAGTGCAGAAATTGTCATTGATTAGTAGATAAAAAAAAAATGCAAAAAAATTTGTAATTGAATTCAACCTCTAATGTACATTTTTTTATCATAACAGCAATCTTTTGTACTTTTCTCTCAGAAGTCCCCTAGGTTGCAGTTCCACAACCCAGATATTTGCATTTTTGTGTATTGTAGTGCAGAGCGTTGGTTCCGCGCTTTCAAAAAATCTCGTTCCGTCGCCACTCTGTTTATTTTCGCGTGCTTTGTCGTGTGTTTGTTTGTTTCCTGCGCTAGCTCGACTTATCATATCACAATAATCGAAGTCTTGTCACACAGCCTTGTTTTTCATGGGGTGGTGCGCGCCCGCCGAGAAGCAGCCAGGCAAAATGAGGAAATTCAATTATTTTTGCGCCCCTCGCCGCTACCGTCAGTTTCCTGCGCTCTCGCTTTTTGCATTGTGCAGCATCGGAGCGAACGCGGATGGTTGGTTACACTCGGCTGCAGCCAAACAAACCCGGCTACATGCCCACGACCAAATTCAAACAACATTGTTCTGTCGTCCACAATGCACACGACCAGCAAAATCAATAATTCACGCCGCCGGAATTGATTCCCAGAGAGAGAGAAAACCATTTATTAATCACGCGTCCGCGCCTCTTTGTGAGGAAAAAAGCAATCGCACTCTCTCCATACACAGCTGAACAGGAGGCTCTGGAGGATTAAAAGAAACGGAGAAAGTCGATTTGCATTTTGCTAATCAACCCTTTTTTAATTAAAAAGTGAATCTGATCAGCTTAACAAGCGTCCACTCCTTCGGGATCTTACATTTAGATTTAATCCAACGTGAGGATGACAATTACAAATTTTTTTTTTATTCCTGAAGTGCTGAAAGCTGGGAAAAATTGCAGAATTTTTTCTAAGCATATTTTATTACATTATACTTGTTGATTAAATTGGAAAACGGCAGTTTTCGTGAGCCTTTTTTTGTTATAAAATAATAAAAGATTCACTGAAACCCTTTTTTTAAACTGCCTTTTTTTAAACGACATGAAAAAGTTCTACTTTTCCTCTTCTTTTATTTTATTGAATCAGAAAGGAAGTTCAGCAATCGAACTTCAATTCAAGTGCCGTGCTATTTTTTTCCAAACAAAATTAACCAACTAAACTCCCGCAAAATGCGCATTAATGTTGGTCCCGGATTACAAAGGGCTTCGGCGCGTGTAATCCGATTGAAAAATCGTTCCGAACGGCATTTGCGTGCTGCTCTGTTAATATATTATACAAAATTTTTTTTTCCGAGTGCGTATATTTTAGCTCTCGTCTGTTGACTCTGCCGCTGCTAAAAAAAGCAATTCCGCGGTGGCGGCTCGAATTAATTTGTGTGCTCGCTCAAATCCCTGGCGGAGCAAAAATGCCCTCGCGCGCAAATCCCCTAATTCCGCCGAATGACAGCCGACTGATGGCGCGCAATTTGGCTTTTTGCTCGAACACGTACTTCATGTGTACAAACGTGACACCAAACATGCGCCAATTTTTCCTCTTCACGCTTCTTTTCTCTCCGTGTGTGATTCGCAAATTAACAGCTTGCCTGCTTGCTGGACTTTTTAATTAAATAAAAAACAACATTTTTAACTTGACATTAATTTTTTGTATCAAATCAACAGATTTAACTCGCTCTTTTGATATTATTCTCAAAACACAATTGCTGAGTGAATTAAATTTATCGCAAATAAAAGGCATGGTTGATAATAAATGCAAGAAATGCAAATCAAAATCTCATTAACTTTGTCCAAACTTCAGCTTTTTGCACTCTTTTCTTTCGTCTGCAAGTGGAGCTCATGGCTGGTATGCATGCTCGGTGGTGTTTGTGTTAAGCGAGAGTTTTGGGTGCTAAATTGTGCGGTGTTGATCAGGCCGCGCCCCGGCCCGCCGGCTCGTGATTGCAGATGATGGACGTGAAGCAGCGCTCGGCCGTTCCCCTGCCTGTCCTGCAGCACTACGGCGCCGGATTCCCGCCGCACCTGCTGGGCAACGCGTCCGTCTTCATCTGTCCACCGCCCAGGATCGACCCCTACGCTGAACAGGAACTCTACAATCCAGTTTACGAGGAGCTTTCAAACGGTAAAACACTAATTAAAAAATTTAATTTATTTTTCTTGATGATTATTTAATATATTACATTTCACCATTTTATTTTAACCACGATATTTAAATAATTAAATACACAATTATTTTATTTATAAATTAAATTTCATTAACTTATAATAAAATAATTTTTTAAATTTACAGCGTTTTAATTGATTTTTATTTATTAAACATTATTTTTATAAATATTAACTCTCTCTCTGTGACTGATTATCTCATTGTTTGAGGTAGCACTTATAACTTTGTATCAAAAAGCACATCATGCACTTAAGTATTCTTATATGTTTTACATTTTTCATATTTAATGATAATTTTTCTTACAAATTCAAATGGCTTATATAAGGTAATTTATAGATACTGAATTGAATTTATTGCATGAATTTGTAAAATTGAAATCAATATGTTATTTGTTCTAATTGCCATGAGTTAATGGAGAGCAGACATAATCACAATTTAACTTCTAGTTTTTTCCCAACCAAACAATGGCTAAGAATTATTTCATTTTTACTACCAATCTTAATAAAATTGTTAGAATTTTCCTACAAAATGATACGAGCAATGTATCACACCCAAAAAACTGTAATAGTTCATAATATTGCAATTATCTTAAAAAATTATCAATTCTTTTAACCTATTATGAATTTAAAATTCTTTCATCTTTTTTTTCAAATTGTTCGTTTTTTTTACATCAAATAAATTTTTCTAATGCAAATCAACATTCTTTCCAATTCAGGTTCCGAATGCAGAGGCTCGGACAGTGACCAGGGCGACCAAGGCCGCGTGCGGACAGGCAGCGAGGACGAGTTCGCCGAGGACGAGCTGAGCCTGGCGGGCGACCTGGCGCACAGGGTGGTGGGGCCGACGCCGCCGCCCGCCTCCACGCTGCCTTCGCGTCTGCGCTCCAAGAACAGCTCGTTGGCCGGCTCGACCGGCAACGACCTGTGCAGGGACCTGGACTCGTCGGACGCCGACGACCGCCTCAAGACGTCCGAGACGGACTCGTTTCTCGCGCTCAGGATGGCCAACTGCCGCAACATGAGTCTGCCCCCGGGCCGGCGGACGCAGCAGGCGGCCGGCCGGCGGCCGAAGAGCCTGGACCGGCGGCGGCACCGCGGCAGCCCGCGCAGCCGCAAGCCGCACGCCTCCCCTCCGCCCCCGCCGGGCCTCGAGCCGGCCGCGTTCCACGCCGGCCTGCTGCTGCAGGACGCCGGCGGCCGCTCGCCGGCCGCCTCGCCCGCCTACCACCTGCCCTACAACTCGTTCTACGTGCGCAGCTCGAACCCGTACGAGACCGTGCTGAACCGGCCGCCCGAACTGACCTCCTTCCGGCCGCCCCTGCCGCCGCAGAACCCGCCCAAGAACAGCAGCAGCCAGGACTCGTTCAACTCGGACTCGGGCTTCAGCAACCACACCACCTCGGGCGGCCGCGCCACCTCGTCGGGCGGCGCCAGCTCGACCAGGGGCCGCACCGGCGAGTTGTACGACCTCAGGCATCCGCTGCCGCCGCTGCTCTCTTAGTATTACGTCCATTCCAAGTGCAAGGACGCGTTTGTGCGCATCTAGGGGCCGCGTCCCCCGAAACGTTTCGCCTGTTTTTAATTTTATTCGGTTTTATTTGCTCAACTGTGACGAATTTCCAAGTTCCGACGCGAACCTTGGTCACCCCCTGCTCTGTAAGACTGTTCGGTGTGTAGTGCGAATTTAGCGAATCAGCCCCTCTCGAGAAGCAATCATCGGCCAGCGCGCACCTTTTATTCGCAAGTTAATTGGAAAATTAAGGACACTGGAAATTAACTTTGGTGGTGCATTTGCTATTTTCGGCGATGATTTTACTCATTCTAAAAGCATAGTTGTAGACAAAGGTTCAAAAATTCAGTTCCTTTCCATATTTACCAAATTTACACTGAGATTTTTTTCCAAATGTCGTTATTTTCCAGTGTCTGCCAGTTAATTTTAAAAAATTAGCCCCTTGGATCAATCACTAGTGAAATCGCTTAGCAAGAAAACTCTTAGCGTTTGTGTCAGTTGGAGTAATTAAATTTAAACAAGTCAGCAGGGTATTAATTTCAGTTTCAATCGCGCTTTTATATCAGTTTAGCAATCTTGTCTGCGCACGCTTTTGGTTTTTGGCGGATTTGCCACAAAAATGAACCCCTGGTTGGGTCGGAAAAATTCTAAACTTTCTCAAGCCCACATATCATGACATCGCCAGCACACTCCTTTTGGATCTTCCCATTAATTGTCTCTGAATCACTCTGAAAAATAAATTAATTAATCACTCACCTCGGATAATCAAAATTTGGCATGAGCTTAATCGCGAGCGAATTTCGTTCCATATCCGACGCTACAAATCGATTTTTCATTATTTGTTAGAGAAATGTGTTAGTGTCACTGTCTCGCGCGCGCGCGCCAATTGTCACGTGTCTGTCTATCTTCTCTTTTTCTAAGGGTTGATCTGTGATCTCGAACGAATGAATGACAGCAATTCCCCCGGAAAGCCTCGCCAAAGTGAATGCGGAAAAAAATTATTATTATGATGAAAAAGAGACGTTTCGGTGACGCCGGGGCGAGTTCCGCTTTCCTCTGTACAGCAACGTTTTTACTAGTCTATAACGCGCAGTTATTAAACCACACTTATGTATATCAAACACAACACGGAGAGATATGAAGAAATAATTGAAAGCAGCATTGTGAGAAAAATCATATTATATAAATTTGAGTACAGAGCCAGCAGTGTAGCAAGTAAGAATGTTTTATGTACGGACGATTTAGTTTTTTCCTGTGGATAGAAAGAGATTCGAGGAACTTTTTTATCGTACCGGAGAAAATGCATGTATGATTTTAATTAAAACAACTACCGTGTCTCGCAGAAATGGAGAAAATTTACATGTATTAATATAATTAACGATGCCCTGTGCACACATCGCAATTATTGTTTGTCAATCGATGCAAAATTTCGCAAAATAAAATTTCCATGTAAAATTCTAATATTTTTTGTTTTATTTTTAACTGGAATTAAAAAAAAATGACACTAGAAACAGTGCTAGAATTATTTTTTATGTAAAATATGTCATTTTAATTCACACACAACAATCTTTCCTTTAAATTCATGTTTTTTTTATTTGTTGAAATTATTTAATTAATTAATTAATAATATTGTGACTTTTTACACATTTTAAATTTTTTTTCATTAAATTTTAATTTTATAAATTCAAAGTTCCATTGCTGTAGATGTTAATTGATTGTCAAGAATTCATATTATTTACTGTCATTTAGTCAAATTGTCAAGCAATTAAAACCACAATATTATAATTATAGTATCATAAATTAAATAATGTGATAGTTATTAGATCCAGAATAATCCCAGGCACTCTATTTTTCAACAAAACGAAAAGGGCCATCACGTTTATGAACGTGTTATTGATTTTGCAGGCAGATTGGGTCGGCGGCGGCTTTATATGGTCATTAGCGCGATGATACGGGCGTCATTTCACGCCTCCGCTGCACCTCCAAATCCACCCTGAATTATGAAGTGAGTAAATCCCCGTCTTTAGAAAGAAATCTTCGCGAGCCAGCGCAGCAGCAGAGCAGCGAAATCCATTTTGGCACGAGGAGTGACTCGAGTCTTTTCTTATATGGCTGGGATTTGCGGCAAATTGATGATTTCGCAGCCGCACCCCCGGCACCCCGCGCCATCCCTTTTGCCCGCAGCCTCCAAGCCTATACTTATTCCCGACCAAAGCCGGCGACAATAATCGCACCAAATTCCCGATTTTATGGCCCGAGATAACTTTATTTGCATCTTTCCCTTCCACCGCCGCAGTTGTGGAGAACTTCGTCTCCTCCTACGTCAAAAACAATAGGAAATTAATTATTTTTATCAATATTTCTCATGGACCAAAAATTTTATGTTGCTGAAATTGCCAAGAATCAATATAGAGTAACCATAATCACAATACTAGTTTTTTAAAACCAAGAAATGAACAACTTATTGGATATTTGGATAGGAATTATTTTATACATTTCAAACCTTTTTCATTCGTAATCATAATTCTCATCTATGCCAGTTTTGTAAATCAGGATTTATATTACAGCAAATTTTGATTGAAACGGAGGAAAACAAATATAAGCTTTGATAGCTTTTTCATTGCCACAGGTAAAACAATAAAATTAACTAAATTACAACAACTACAAGATTTATTTAAAAATTATTTCTCTAAATACTCTTAACAATCATTTTTTTTTTTTTTATCAGAGAAGTCGATTTGTTTGGAGAGTCTGAAATCACTGTTTTAGAGCTTTTACAAGTAGCATCAGGTGCAGTGGTGCTTGCTTGCTTAGTCGCCATTGAATCACGCTAGTGGAATCCAATATTTTCAGAGCTCACAAAAATAACGCAGATAAGCGAATTATTAGCGTGCAATTCTACCTGCGCGTAAATTGGCTTTGTTAGTCGTGACCATTCGGAGGAATGATTTGTAATTGCGCTCATTAGCGCCGTTATGGGCATGCATGCGCGCAACTCGACGCCCTCGCCCACATGCTAATCACCGGTTGATGCAGAATTAATTGCTCTTTTCCCAATGGGAATATTATATGTTGATTTAAAACACACGTGACCATGTTTAGGGAAACTGCGGCTCGTTTTATCCGTGCGCCACTTTTTTCGCTCGTTAAAAACGATTTTGCTGCCGCGTTTTCATAAAAGTTCCATCATTGAATCTCTGGTGCGCCCATTAACAGGACGCGTTTTTTTGCCGTATTTCACGTCGCGGCGAGTGACAGATACGCGTTGATTGATGATTGGAAATCCTCTCAGCCCACTACAGATTAAAACTAACACAAAGTAAAAAATAAAAATAAAAAATGCTTTAAATTATAATAATATTGACGATGTTTCAATATACCTTCCTATTATTGATCTGAAGTTCATCAACGCGCCTTCAAGAGGTAGATGCTTTTTGTGACAAATAAATAAACAAATAAGTGGAGTGGTTCGTTGTCTGAAATTTTTTTTCTATAATTTCCATGTTACAATTACTTTTCAGTAAATAATTCTGCTTGAAACTTGTAGCAACACCTGTCTCTTCCTATTTGCTCTCCAAAAACTCTAAATCAATAAGCGTTTTTATTTTTTTATTTTTCTCGAGCAAAGCTGAAGCGAAGAAGTGCGCTGTAAATATCAATTTTCCAAAGGTGGATGGAGCGATCGTCTCGAGAATAATACAGTCGTCGGGGGTGAAAAATTCGACGCGCCTGTCGATAAATAACACCTGCAGACAAACTCGATATTTGTTTTCCATCACGTCTGTCCAATATTTCCCCGAGTCAAATTTTGTATCCATCTCGCATTGTATGAAAACAAAGGCGCTGCAAGAAGCAAATTTCTGGATTACCGCAGTTCGAAGGCAGTTCGCATGCAAATGACAGGCGCCGGAGGCAAAAAGCGCCTGGTCACATCCACCCCCGGCGATGCAAATTATCGTCCCTCGGGACTCTCAGCGGCAGATGACGCGTCTCTTATTTAACATGCACGCCGGATAAGGCGTCGGTATGCAACCGGCTCCTCGTGCAGGCCCTCCCAGTTGCATAAGTGCCACAACTGCTGCACAGATTTCCTCCACGGCTGTTGCTTAAGCATTCAAAAGTTGGATGAGTGGGAAGAAAAACTGATGAGAGTTTTACTTGATAAAGACAATGTGATGACGAAATTTGCCGCTTTCCCTCGGGAAAATATGCATCAAGTCGCCGACGAAAATTTAGTTCTTGTTAGAACTAATTCGAGATTTAAAACTTTCTTTTTTTACAAAATGTTTATATTTTTGTCAGTAAAAAACTAAAATATTAAATCGAATTTTTTTAATACTATCTTTGCCTGTTTGACTATGAAATGTGAACAAATTTTTGGAGGTGCCACTGGCAGATTTGGAGAAGGACGGCCTCACTCTCTCTATACCTTTTGCATTTATACACTCATCCCCCTAGGCGCGCACTCAAAATTATGGAATAATGCTCAAACTAATGGAGCAATATGCATAAATTATAAGCTCGGTGGCAGTAGCAGCCATGTTGGCTCTCGCACCGTGTCTCTCAGGACACCAATACTGATTTGCATAAATAATCGACTGGCGCACACGTTCATGTTCAGCAAGCGCTGCCGGCATTAATACTCATTTCCTTCATGACACTGAAACAGGCCGGATTTTTTTATCATTTTTGTGCAACTTTTGCGAGAATTGAATTTAAATTATGAAAAATTCTCAACTACATAATGTATATTTAATTTATTTCATTATTTTCAGAATTTAGTGCATCGCACACTAAACTATCATATCTATAGCGTTTTTATAAATTAAAAACTTAATTGAGAATTGAAGGTTATATATTTCCAATATTTCTGTTATTTAGTTATATAACTTTTCGCAAAGATGATATTAATGATTTTTTTTAGAAATTGTTTATTTATTGTGAATCATAGAAGTAAAAATCAAGATGTTCTAAATCTCAGATTTTTAATGATTATTCCAAATCTGTCTGCTTTCCCAAGAATTTAAACAGGAAAACATTAATTTTTTTTATATATAATCAAGAGAATCCGAGGTATGTGAAAGTTCGTTCTTTTGTGACGAGGCAAGAAATGCATGTGAAGTAAAGACGATGCGCTTCCTGACGTTTCAAACACATTTCAGTTCTTTGCAAAAATAAGTACTTACTTACCAGGCCGATTGTGCACACAAGTATGGGGCGTTGCTGGTACAAATTAAATTTATGTTTATTGCGTTCAATGAGATTTTAGAAGATAAGTTACTTTACTTTAAGGAAAAATGTCTTTCATCAAGTGAAAATTTTCAAATTTAATAGTCATTTGTCTGCTTTCAAGATCAAACACGAGAAGTGGTAGGTTCGGCAAAGCATTGCATTAAAAAATGCTGCTAAAGTACATCGGCGTCCTTCACTCGTTTCATGCACTTGCTTCAACTTTATGGACAAACACTCTCTGGCGGGTGCATTTGAATGTATCAACTTTGATGTGCGTGTGATACAAAGCAGGACGGGAAGACGACGAGGAAAACTCACCCTTTATTGAAGATTGCAGCAGGCTTGAGAAGAGCGGCCGGCGGCGCAGCATAAATTTCAACATGGGGCTGCCGAGCCTCACCGCACGGCAAGTTCTCTAATTTCTGAACCGCCATTACAAGATCAAAGCGTAATTACTTTTGGCAAAATTATTTACAGGATGTGCGTCTCAAAGACCGGCACTTTTGATTCTCGGTCAGGACTGGTGCGTGATTAAAACGAAACGAGCCGCCCTCGAACGGGGGCACCAGGTGGAAGAGATAAAATGTGCAGCTCACAAAAAGCGGCGGCGGCGCCTCACTTGGCTCTTTCAGTTCAATCGGAAAAGCGGCGTCCTCGGAGCGAAAAATCCGATTCCGCCGTCGTGTTGCGATTAAAAAAACTGATTAGCCCGACTTTCGGTTGTGATACGGGTTAACTTCAAAAGCTCTGTTTGAATATCTCCGAAAAACCATACAAAATGGAAATGGTATGAAAGGGGGAGGAATTAATTGAATAGCCGTTTTGTTAAGTTTCTTCTCTTCCATTTTATACATTGATCACCTTCTGCCTTTAACTTTAAATCTCAAAAGTGACCATGAATATTTATTATTACTTTTGTATACGGAGAAAAATAAAGCACTAACTGCAAGAATATCCAATGAATATTTATTGACACGGGGAGATTATTCAAAAGGTGCACTCTTCTGCTTTCTTGGCGCATCGCACCGCTCCCTGCTCGGGAAATAAAATTAAGATCTTAATTATTCTGAGTGAGTGCACGCGGAATGAGTGCAATGAGATGTGAAACTCGACGCAGGCGGCCGACTCCAATGGTGTTCCCGCCCCATTAAAATAATATGCATCGCGAACCAGCCATTATGCAGATGTAGATACGGCAGACTTTATTTAGGTAAGTGCAGGCTCCGGGCGAAGAGGTATACATATAATTATAAAGATTAAGAATGCTAATTTTGAGAGACAGAGCTCGCATTGTCAGAACTTCAAACTCCAAACTTCGCTAATTGAGAAATTCAAATTTTCATGTTAAAGTTTGAGAAATGGGGAAATATATTATTTGATAACGAACTAAATTAAATATACTAAAAAGATTAAAAAAAATTCAGTATAATTTGGTTTTAATATTAAAATTAATTTGTATTCTTTAAATTTTAAACTTCAATGCAACACTTCCAATGCGACTTCAGTGTTCTAAATGATGTAATATTTTATTTTAAACGTTAGTTTATTTTTAGCTTTTGAAGAGAAAGAGAAATTATTTTATTTTCGGCGCCTACAATTTCTTTTCACACTATTTTGAATATTTTAATTGAGGAAAATCAAAGTGCATTTAATTCCCTTTCCAACAAATTTAACTGCCGTAACGAAGTAGTTTCAAGAATTTGCAACGTCATTAGGGGACTTGCTAGAAATAAAGAACCAAAATCACGGGTAGAATAGTTTCTGAACAATTAATAATCCAGCCAATTTTAACAGGAAAGGGGTTTTCGGGGTTACGCACACGGGGCCACCCTCATGATACCGTATACATTTAACATTTAAGCATGGCCGGAGTGCATTCCAAACTCCATCATCTGTAGCAACAATGGCCGGTGTCGAACGAAAGCAGCTTTATAAAGACAAGCGCCACCCTGACAAAAGGGTTTTGTTCGGCCGCCTTCAATATCTTCCGCTCCAAGGGAGCCCAACTGAGCTCAGCTGGCGTGGAATCGAAGGGCAGAACCTGCGCCTTTGTGCTGCGGGAAAGCGTGCCTTATCACTTATGGCTTATCGACGTTCACATCAATTAACAGATCGAGTAAAGCCGAGAGCAGTGCTAAGCGACTCTCCTTCAAGAAAAACGCTCTCCGTAGCACCACTTCTTTTGTTAGATTGCCAAAAGTTAATATCACGGCTGCTCTCAAAAGACCAATTCTTGTTTGTAAATTAATGTTCTAGCAGCACCTTTTTTAATTTTATTGTGTGTAGTAATGCGCAGGCCAAGGCAATTAAGAATTTTTGGAAATGAATGTAATTATTTCATCACCTACTTTTGTAGAGGTTTTTTTTATATTGTGTATTTTAAATATAGCTGCATATTGATGGCCAGAGATATAACAATGCATATAGTAAATAAATTGACCAAAAAATATTGTTTCACCTAAAAGTTAACTATAAGTTGAATAAAATTAAAATTTCTATATCAGTAGCAGAGAAAGAAGATTTTTATTAATCAATGTTAATCAACAAAACACAAATGCACTTTTTCTTCTTTTCAATGCCAACAATTTCTGTAAAACGGTGGGTGATGTTAAAAGACAGACTAAAAGGATCCGTGAAAAAATTCTGCAGTGCTACATAGTGAAAATTTGCAGTCTTGCAACAAGGATGAAAAACTACTATTTGGCTTTAATCACACATCTACTGTTTGGAAAAGTTATAACATCGCATAAAATAATTAATCAATGGCACCAAGCAACAGATGTGAACTTTGCATGTTTTGCACGCCTCTACCAATATTTCTCCAAATTCTTCTCAAATTTCTGAAACAAAAAAATCCCATTTAAAATTTTTTACTTTTAATGTTAGAACTTAAAGAGGATGTTATTCATGGGAAGTTTTTTAGCCGTTGTTGCTTGGAAAAGCAATAGCTTGATTCGAAACGAGTGAATGCAAATCTGCTGTAGAAAAATTTTAAAATTTACTCACCGATGGCTCCGTGGTCGGTGCATGTCGCTCAACCGGCTGGCCATTTTTGTCAATCACAAACTTGGTGAAGTTCCATTTGATGAAACTGCTAAAAGTATAGAAAATTTCTTTCCAATTGATATTCAATCTACACTTACTCTCCAAGAGTTCCACCCTGCTTGTGCTTCAAATATTTCCAAAGGGGTGAGGCACTGTCTCCGTTGACATCTACCTTCTCAAACAAGTCAAAGTTGGCGTTGTTCTTCATCGCAAAGCAGACAATGTCCTCGGAGCTGCCAGGTTCCTAAAATACCAAATAATAATAATAATTGCAGTTTGAAAAATTCCAAGTACGGACAAGTCGATTCTTGTCCTGGAAAAAGGTTAGTAAGAGCAACTGTTTAAATTGTCTAAAATTTATATTGCGACTTGGGCTTTATCCTTGTTACAAAAAAAAATTGTTTTAATTAAATAACATATGGCCCTGCCAGTTCTTGTCACGGTCTACAACTCTATTTCATGAACAAGAAAAATAAAAAAAGGAAATTGAAAAACACACACATTTTAACAAAAAAATCTTTTTTTTTTCTTCTATTTCCTATTTTTTTTTTGTATTTTTCTTGCCCATGAAATAAGGTTGCAGACCGTGACCAAAACTGGTAGAGCCTTTTTTTAATAAATACAATAATTTTTTACGACAAAGAAAAAGCCCGAGACCTCCATTTCCATGATCACCTCCTTGAGTGTCAATTTCTTCACATAAAAATTTTATATTATTTGCAAAGCGCTTTCTACAAAGACAAAATTTTTAATGTTAAATCGACTTTAATTAAACTTAAAATGGCAAAACAGTCTTTACCTGGCCTCCAAACTGATTGCAGGGAAAGGCCAAAATCCTCAGGCCCTTGCTCTCGTGGTACTTTTCACGCAACTCTTCCAACTCCTTGTAGTTCGTGGCGGTGAGGCCACATTTGGAGGCGACGTTCACAATGATGCAAACATGGCCCCTGTGAAAAACAAATTAAATTTTCGATGCCTCCGTAAAACAAATAATATTTACTTGTATTTCTCAAGTGGAACTTCGTTGCCTTTGATGTCCCTGACCGTGAAATCGTAAATGGACGATGCGCTTTTCCAGTTCTCAGCATTGGCCTGCAAAGTTTTAAATGAAATCATTAGAAATAAAATATATAGCTCACAAAATGTATTATTTTTTTTATCACCATGACGCTGAATCTGCAGGAAAAAAGTCGGGTGGCGAAAACGGCGAGGAGAGGTCGGACAACTGCAACAACCATCTCCTTATTTATTTTTCAATCTAAAAGAAAAGGAGAAGAGCGCAGAGAGTGGCTGAGACGAGAAACTTTTATTGAACATTTTCCACACAACTACTTGATTATCTAGAAAAATGAGGAAACCTGAACCACTCTTCATGCAATAAATAACTAGGAAATTCTAATTAGTTATTAAACATTATACAAGCAGACAAGCAAAATTAAGGAAAATTCAAAAATAAATTTTATATGGCAGTGTAATTATTCTTATTAAATGTGGCAATATTTCCCCTATAATTCAGTGTTATCATCAATTTCGAGATGTATAATGTCAATGTCATGTTATATGTATATAATGACACATCATTCACTGTGGTTTTAAGTGATAAAGCTGTTATCGGGTTCTTAATTCAATAATGTATATAATTGTAACTTTTGTCCTTTGTCTAGGAAATAATTGTCACTATAAAGCTGGAATTAAAATTATAATTTTTACACAAGTTTGAAAACGTTGGTTGTTATTCAAATATGCATTAATTTTTTTTTCAAAATAAGTTAATACAATTTTTGTGTTATATAATATGTGTTTGATTACCAAAATTTTCATTTACATAGCTCTCAAAAACATAAATTTATGCATTATTTTCTGTGTGCATAACAGCATTGATAAGATTTTGGAAGTAACTAAAAAAAGCCGAATCAGAAAATCTGAAATCCACCTGATAGCCATGATTATATAATTTAATAATCCCCTTTGATCTGCAATTCTGCGCTGTAATGCAGCACTACTTATTGGAATTATTACGCAATGTCACTTCAAGGACTTACCGTACAAAAACAATTGAACTTCAAATTTAATTTTGATTTACAGAATTTGTTACATGCAAGGAATACAATCAATCAAAGCAAAATTAAAATATATGTACCTTTTTCCACGAGCTGCACTAGATTTCTCCGACGAATTTTGATTTGGAGCAGAGCTTTTTTGTAAACACAAGTGATCACGGTGGACCTGCGCAGTTTGTTGTGCGCAGTGTGCCCTGCCCTTATTGGAAAGGGTAGAAGAAGAAGGACTAAAGCGTAAGATAATAGAGGAAGGACAATTTGGGACAATTATAAATTTATAGCTTCAACTACGATTAAGAATATAGCTAAACTAATTATATTTGAAAAATTTAAAGATTTTTTACCATTCGTGATACTATTTTTCATGCTTTAATTTTGCTGATATACATTCCTTTGTAAAACTCCATTGTGCAATGGGAGGCGTGGTTCTATTTCATTATTTTTACGATTTTTGCTGAACAGTCACAGCAACAACTTGGCAACAGCAGTCGTCAGCCGGTCTAATTACTTTCTGTACAACATAATAATTAACTTTACTAAAAATTAAATTATTCGCAATCAAACGAAAGAGATCCTTGTTATTTAATTTTTAATTGACGAGCCATGCTTCGAAGCGCAAATTTTCTTTGGAAAACGTCTGCTGGTAGGTTGAACATAATATAGTATTATATACTTATTATTTTTGCTTTTATTTTATTGTCTTTTCACAAGCACAAATAATACGACAAATACCACAATACATCATGCACAACAGACATACTTTATCTTTATTTTAATAGTTTCAAATCATGTTTATTAATGTATCACCGGGCATTCTCTGCCCAAATACATCATCCATACATTCAATATTATACATAAATAAATTACATTGATTACGATTATTAATATGTTTCTGTGATCTCTTTATGATATGTTAATTAGTAAAATCTTGAGCAAATTTATGCAACTGCGTTCTTCACAGTGATATACATAACTTCTGCTGCACAATGTAGTATTATGTAATTTATTGCAGCGTGCAGAGCTGGGTCTGTGACCTCTGTCAGATCGTCACACGCTCAGGCAGACTTCAGGAGACTTTTGCAAGAGCAACTGAACAACATCAAAGTAGCGGGAACATGGAAGGCCGAGCGAATCATCACATCAAAACAAGGCGTCGAAATCTCTGTACATGGCTCCAGCAAAAAAATTCTCAATTTCTGTGCCAACAATTACCTTGGGCTCTCTGTACGATCTTCCCTTCATAAAAAATCGAAAAATAAAATAACAGTAAAATAAATTTTCAGAGTCACCCTGAAGTAGTTGATGCTGGCAAAAAAGCGTTGGATGAGTTTGGAGCCGGCCTCAGCTCTGTCCGTTTCATTTGCGGCACGCAATCAATCCACAAGGTCTTTTGAACGATATGCAACCAATTTGAAAAAAAATAAGCCTTTTTCAAATTCCAGAAATTGGAACGTCAAATATCAGAGTTTCACGGGCGCGAAGATGCGATTCTGTACCCGAGTTGTTTTGATGCCAATGCAGGCCTCTTTGAAGCTATGCTGGGTCCAGAAGATGCAATTTTCTCAGATGAACTCAATCACGCCTCAATTATTGATGGGATTAGGCTGTGCAAAGCCAAGAAGTACAGATACAAGCATCGTGACCTCAGCGGTTGGTTTGTCATAATTAAATAAATTCGTGATAGTTATAATAAAATAAAATAGATCTTGAGAATTTGCTAAAGGAGGCTGGAGACTTTCGAACAAAACTTATTGTGACTGATGGAGTTTTTTCGATGGACGGTAATGTGGCTCCCTTGAAGGCCATTTGTGATGTGGCTGAGAAATACAATGCTCTAACTTTTATCGACGAGTGCCACGCCACTGGATTTTTTGGAAAAACTGGCCGGTATTTATGATGATAAATTAATTAATATCAAACACAATGTTTTTCTTATTTTGATCAAAAGAGGAACGGAGGAGTTTTTTGGAATCGACGGAAAAGTTGACATTATCAACTCGACGCTTGGAAAAGCCCTTGGAGGCGCAGCTGGAGGTTACACCACAGGGCCTAAAGAACTGATTGATCTGCTTAGACAGAAGTCAAGGCCATATCTTTTCTCAAACTCGTTGCCACCTCCAGTTGTTGCTTGCGCTAGCAAGGTACACTAATGAAATATTTGAAAATTTAACGAAATTTAAAATGATTTTTTAGGTTTTTGATCTTTTACTCTCCAGCTCGGAGTTGTGTGAAAAAGTTGCTGCTGGCACTGCCAGATTCCGCTCTGCCATGACCAAAGCTGGCTTCACCATTGCTGGAGAGCAGCATCCCATTTGTCCTGTCATGCTTGGGGACGCCCGACTTGCCTCTCAATTTGCTGACAAAATGCTTTGTAAGATTTTTCGTCTCAAAATTCAAGCAGGATCATGATAGTTTTTAACTTTTAGTTGAAGGAATCTACGTAATTGGGTTTAGCTACCCAGTAGTTCCCCAAGGAAAGGCCCGAATCCGAGTTCAGATTTCGTCTGCTCATTCGAACGAAGACATCGACAGAGCTGTGGACGCTTTTATTAGGATTGGCAAAGAGCTTAAGGTCATCTCATAATTCACACACACCATTTTACAATACTTACTTATGTATGTGCAATCTCATTTTGTTCCTTTACATTATCACCTCATTGATTTTCATGGTGGTACAAACGATGGTGATCTTATTTTTTGAATAAAATAATAATAGGGTGGTCCAGCAATTATTTCTGGTTTTATAGTTATTAAAACAATATATTTCGTTGTTTCTAAAATTTATTAATCAACAGTCGTTAATAAGTCTAGATTAAAATTTCAAATGACTTGATATAGAATACACGATTTTAAAACTGTCTTTTGTTTTATCGTGTTGCATGGGGTTGTCCAGAGCTCCAATGGACACAAACAAAGACAAATCTAAAGATCACTAACTGGGAGGTTAGAGATAAGTCCTTTGGTTAAGTAGGGCAGGGTCACAAAAACACTCGTCGAGTGCTAAGTTCTGAATGAGAATCAAGCTGACAAACAATCCATAATTAATTAAATGCAAGCATTTTGTTAATCCCGAGATGCACCCTGCTGAAAAATCGACCAAATATGATAGTCAAGGATCTTTATGGCACTGCTGGACTGTCCTTGGCTTTCTCTGTAGAGGGCAAAGCCGAAGAAACTAAAAAAAGCAACAATTAGTGAGTTTAAATTTATATTTTAAAAAACAATATTACCTGGAGATTTGGATACTGAAACAACAGACTCAGTGGAGGAAGGAAGAGGGCTGGCTGGCTGGGCGTCCAGGCGGTCCAGCCTGTTTAGGACATATTCTTGCTTTGTCAGCAGCACTCGGTACTGCTCCTGCAGTCTACCAACTTTTGTATCAAACTCCGACAGTTGACTTGTGGTCCCAGCCAGCTAAGCACACGAGTGGTTTAAAATTTTAATCAAATTTTAATAGGCAAATTATTTACCTGGGTGTTAAATGTAGCCATGTTGTGCTTCTGCTGGTCACTCATTTGGTTACTGTTTGCGTCCAACGTGGTGACTTTGGCGCTCAGATTTTGACCCAGGTCTTGCAGAGCTTCAATCAGTTTCTATTTTTCCCCACCATTACAAATTTATTTTTTTCAGTTTTCAAAAATCTTACATGATCTTTGCTCAAGTCATCTTTTATCCACTCCAACTTGTTGCTCAGACTGGCGTTTATCTGCGAGACGTTCTTTGTCAGAGTAGCCAAATCTCTAGCCCACTTTTCCTGCTCCTCTAATTTGGACTTTTCTGCCTCTCTGCCAGCCTTCGAAGCGCCTACCAACTGCCGACTCTGCAAAGTGCTGTTCACCTCACTAATAAATGTCTGCAATGAAAATTTATATTAGTCTCATTTTTGATGTTATTATAAAACAAGCTAACCTCTAAATGAGTTAGGTTGGACGTAATGACTCCAGTCTGCTGCTGTAGCTGTTTCGATGTGGATTTCATCTCACCAATCTGACTACCAAGGTCAGCCACACTGTTGGACAGATCTTTCAGGTCTTTCGGAATGGTCATCAACTGGGGCGCCTCCTGAACCCTCTTTTGAACTTCTTGGAGACCTTCTGAGACGCTGTTAAGCTGGCAGAACAAATTAAGAATCAACCAATTAGAATACTAAATTTTTTATTTCCATCAATTTAAGATAATGTATAAAAAAATTGTCTTTTGCCAAATATGCATTGAAAGATTACAATCTAAAATTCATTTCCTTTACCTGGTTGGACATATTTGCCAGAAAGGCCGTGATATTTTCAATTCTGGCTGCTAAGTGAGTTTGGTTGAGCTGCAGTTGCCTCGAACTTGATCTGCATTGGAACAAATCGTTGCTCACCCCATCACAACTAGAAGACACTGGAACAAAAGCCAAGGACGGACTTACAAATCGATTAAGGACCATCAACGAAATTGCTGCTTGAGGCAGAATGAGACGAGTATGAAACAGATCCATTATGTAAAAAATTCATCAGGGAATAAACCATATAAATTTGCATTTAGAAATTTAGAAAAGTGCAAAATGGTTACTTTTAACTTTTTTGCTAATTAGACATTTAAAAGAAAAAAATTGGTTTTAGGGGTGTCAGACCTCTGTCCAGGTGGGCCCTGAGGGCGGCCACCTGAGCTCGGACGTCGGCTAAGAGCCAGGTGAGGGCGGCGGCGGCCAGCAGCAGGCCGACCACCACGCAGGCCCCGCACCCAGCCTTGAGGGCCCGAAGGCCGCGGGGAGGTTTTCGCCTGCGAGGGCGCGCCTCGTCGAAAAGCAACCCTCCGTCGGGGCCGTCGTCGCTGGAGCAGTACGAGGAGGCGGGAGCCTTGCCGGAGGCCACGAGGGCGTCCAGCTCGCGCCGTTTCTTCATGCGCTTGGCCACTCGAGGGGCCATCAGTGGCCGCTGCCAGGCACCAGCCGCAAGGGTTGCATATGCACTGCTCTCCAGCTCGGACAGGGCGCACGCGCAAAATCGCGGCGGGCCCACCAGATCAATAGGCTGGAGACCCAGACGGCCGGCAGGGCGCTCTCGCCGAGCCCATTTTTTGCCATTAAAAAAACTCCTCGTCGCCTTTGTCTTTTTTTCCGGCCAAGAGGTGCTTGGAGAAAATTGCACGTCTCGCGGAAAAAAATCCAAAGAGGAAAGAAGCGGTGGAGAAAAATTGAGGGGAATGAACTAAATATTGCGATAGACAAAGCCAGCGGCAGGAGGTACATAGCGTGTTAATTACTATACACCTCACAACGGGTTGTTTTCTGTTATCTTTGATCAAAAATTTTTACTGTCAACAGAACATAATGGAAAGTATGTTCTCCTGATAAAGGGAATGCGGCGAAACTATTTCCCTTCAGGTGCCTCTCAAACAAAATATCGAGTTGAGTAAATCGCAAAAAAAAAAATTAATTAAAAAAAAATTCATGTTTTTGATTATGCTTTTTAAGTACAATAAATTGGGTGGCGATATAAATAAGTACATATTTTATTAAAAACTGCATTTTATAGCGAATCAGAATAAAATATTCAATAATAATTTAATCCAGCAGCAAATGAAACAAAAATTTTAATTTTTAATGCAATAATTAATATTATAATATTAATCATAATTTTGCTTCTTTTTTAATCAATTGAAGGTGTAAAGATTAAAGATTTTCTGAAACACAATAATTATAAGATATTAAAATTAATGTGATTCACAAGTTTCTATTTTCATTCCATTTGGCTTTAATGGCAAAGAATGAAGGATAAAAAATAGAACATAAATTTTAATTAAATTAAATTTTTGTTCTTTTTTTTATCTATTATTCTTTGCCAGTAAAGCCAAATGAAAAGAATTGACAAAACAATAACCGTGTGAAAGAAATTAATTTTAATATTTAATTAAAAAGCATTTGCATTTCAGAAAATCTTTACACTTTGTTTGGAGAAAAATAAATTAATTCAATTGAAAACAAAAGCAACCAACCTGATTTGAACTTGACGTCAAGATTGGCGACATCCCCGTGGGCGACCAGGGCCACCCACGAGATCGCCAGCATCCATCCCACGCCCAGACAGACACCGAGAGCCACGGGCCATCCTCGACCTGCGGGAGACGCACAGCAGCAAATGCTACCGGGCTCTCTTGACCCTCGACTCCTGACTCGTCTAAAAGCAAAAGGAGAAAAAACTTTTAGTTGAAAACAGAAAAATTCCGTTGTTTGTTTCACGAAAAAGACATTTTTTTTTAATTACAGGGAAATGGAATTGAAGTGGAAAAGGATTAAATCAACAAAGCACGAATTTCCTGAGAATTGGTGACAAGGTCTTGTGTTTATCTGCCATAGAAGTCGAGTAAAGGCCATGAAAAAATTTTCTATCCACCCCCAGAAATTGAAGCAGAGAGCAAAGAAAATAATTTGTAACTAAATAATAATTAATAACATTATAAAATCATTAAAACTTTATTTAATTTTTGAAAATCGCAATTTTAAATATAAATTTAAAAATTAAATTTATTTTTATTTAGTTTACAATAACATAGCAGTGTAAAAATTCATTAAATTAATATTAAATGTTATTTTTAGTTTAACCACCTAAAATTTCTCTCTGCTTGATTTTTTTAACAGTGTGGGTCTCAGAAATAATAGTACATAATTTATTTTTAAAATATTCAAAATAATTCTGTTAGAAGTAACAAAATAGATATTATTTCATTTTTTCTGCTCCAATTTGATATTTATTTTTTTGAAAGCAAATTCATTTATACAAATAATAAAAAATTTGCAGAATTCATCAGGGTGAAGTGATACTAAATATAATAAGATGTAATTATTTTATCAAGCTATTTTATGTTCACCATCATTTATTTCTATACATCCCAAAAAAATTAAAAATAATGAAGTTATTGCCTTCTGATACAAATAATAAATACGCTACATACACTTTTCAACTAAAACTTTACAAATGGATTAAATGATTAAATATTTAATCACACTTTTTTATTCTGCTTCTTTTCTTGCTGCCATTATTTTTCATTATCATTGTCAGTTTTTGAATAATTTTTTATGAACCAAGTATCAATTAAGTAATACTTAATAACTAATTAGCATCATTTAAATAATTAATTTATAGAATTTAAAAAAGGCGTCAATAAAAAAGTTACTAATTTAATTAATGTGTACTTTCATTGTTAAATTTTCGCTTATAAAAAGATGATACATACTCCTCGTGCTACTGCTATTTATTACTCAGTGCTAGTACAGTATCTGCCTTTTGCTCTCGCACACTTGGCAACTTATTTTGCAATGTTTACTCTTGGCAAACAAACGCTCGTCTCGCGTGAATTGGCAAAAGTGTGAAGCAATGCCGAAAACACATGCTCTATACTTAGGAGTGCATGTTGATGGCCAAGGACGCATTTGAACTCACCTTCGGACCTTTCTGCGGGTCCTGGGGGCCGGAGGCAGTGCGAACTCGGCCACCTGCGACGAGTCCGAGTCGGAGGCGGCCGCGGAGGCGGGCAGCAGCTGGAAGGCCTCCTTGTTGTTGTTCTGCATGTCAGAAGACGGCCATGTTATCACGACTCCTTATCGCACACCACGTGATCTGCTGACGCTCGTCAGGGTCATCCTGCCGCCCTTATCACCGCATCAGGGCTCATCCGCTCCTAGTCGATGCTGATAACGACTCCAAGACGGAGAACCGAACGCACAATCAAAACAACACACACCTGGTTCTCTTCTGTTTCTCTGCGGCGAAAAAGGGGGCGTAACTATTGATATGTAGTACACGGGCAAGGTCAAAGGGGGCGCTGGAGCCTTTAATTTCTATACATTTTTGAAGGTTTTTGCCAATAGTTTTGGATATTTTTAACAAATCTCATATTTATTCGAACATGCAGCAATTTAGGTAAATTTTTTTAGTGTTCATAACAAGCAAACCCGATAATTACAAATAAAAAATGATCTTGATGAAAATTGCATAACATTTTTTGCACGGAGCTTAGCTTATATATAAGCGTTAATTTTTTTTTGTATGTATTGATACTTAATGTAAAAACTGTTTTATTTTTGGTTAAAAATTTCGTGTTACAACTTTAAAACATAAAATTATTTTGGCATGATTGAATTATAGAATTATAAATTCTTCATTAAACGAGGAATAATAATTATAGATAATTTTGTTATAAATATTTCCAGTGTCCAGTATGTCGAACAAAGTATTATTTTGGTTTTAAATTAAATTTTATTACATTTATTACATTTATTTATGTTAAATTTTAAATATATTATCTAACGTTAACAGTCCATCTTTTTGAAAGTAAAAATCTTTTAGAAAAAAAAGGCCAAAAGGCTTCTTCAATTTAACGAAAACTATTAACGATTGGTAGTGCTTTATAACATTCCTAGTTTATATAATATTATTATATGATTATCTATTCTTTTAATAATAAAATATAGTGTTTTATGTGTTTCTACTTTACGAATTTTCTAAATCAACTACATTCACCATAAAAATTTTACATTTCGCAAGCAAAAAAAATCGTGTTGCGGATTCGCAGTATGAAGAGTGATTTTCCCTTTACGGAAAGTGCAACATTCCTTTCAACAGCAAATTGTCACGGCGTCGTGTTTTCAACTGAAAACCCGCGGTGATTCACGGCACGTTGCCAATTAAAAGCTATTAAAATTGCGAGAGGCAAAATATTATGTGCTCGAAGTACCTGGCGGCCCCTGCAGGTCGGACGCATCGGCAGCCAGCGAGCCGCCTTCGAGGTCTGGCGCATGCGCAGTGTTGCCACCCGAGCAGAGAGTCTCAGTGAGGCAGGTGTCGCAGGCAAGACCAGTTGTTTTCTTTTCTTTCGCCGTTTGAGTTGCCTTCTTTTGGACCAATTTGGCGGCGCCGACGCTCGCCAGACGCCCCCGAACGGTGGCCGGACGATGAGGAGATCGCTCAGGACAATCCGCTGAAAAAACAACGAGCAACATGGCAGACGAGGACACCTCGGTTCGCGTCGCAGTCAGGTCAGTCCTGTCAATTTGCACATCTTTCTCCGATTTCAATCGAGATTTCGGCGTCTAATCACCGTTTCGGCTTCAAACGACCGTTCGGCCGCAGAAAGTGGAATCGGCGACCGCGAATGACTCGGGGCAGGCCTGAGATTGCGCTCAGGAAAATCAATAATGCAGCTGGCAAAGTCACGGCCACGGCTTTCCAAGCATTTTCAGCATTTTACGGACTCGTTTTTCACGCTTATCGGCTCGGTTTCGGCAACGAAAAGACTTGTCTATTCTCGTTTATCTTTCCAGCTATCGGGAATGCCGTTTGCCTTCTGAGCGAGTGCATTTTTTGCTAATGATGCACCTGGATGCACCGAATCGCGGTTTGTTTTGATTTGTACACATTCGGTTGCAGCATTAATTAATAATTTATCGATCGAACTGTTTAAAGTTATTAAGATTTTCGCATTCACCTTATTAATCGAATGCTTTTTATTGCCCAAAAGTAATCAATACTTGTGGAGCGTAGCTGAAATTCCCATCAAAGTCTCTAAATATTCATTTATACAAACTTAACTTATCAGTTTTAAATGAATGGCACTCCAGATCATAAAAATAATATAATTAAAATGTTTCAGTTTGTGCAAATTGAATAAATTATATGCTATCGCGAAATAGAGATCTTAACAGCTGAAGTTGGTGGTAATTTTTAATTTCCTCAGACAGAGAAAGAAGAAATAAAATTATAGACTAATTTGATAAATTTTTTATAAATTTTGAAATAATTATTATTGTTAGTTGAAAAACCCACAATTGAGTGTTATTTAAAATTTAAATTTTATTCTTGGATTTATTTTTAAATTTTAATAATTATGCGGTGCCTATTTCGGAGAACAGGTGCGGCTCCGCTCATCCATAAAGCACCTCAAAATTTATGCAAGTAGAACTCTCGTGCCAGCATTTTGAGCAAATCAACGACGCTCATTATGTGCAGATGCAGCGCGTACGTTCATGAATGACTTTCGAGGATGAAAGTCGCCTCTGAATGAGCATCTCCAGTCGATGAACTTTCCTCTGACAGACTCACGGTGTGGGCTTTGCTTCTCACTCGGCGTTTTCTCCATTCAGCATGAGACCCAAATAAACCGAATAAAATCTCGCTAGTGGAAACGTTCACATGAGGATTCGATTACAATGCCGACGAACGGCTCAATTTTCACAATCGGGAAAGGAAAAATTTAACAAACTGCGCAGATAAAAATCTTCGAAATAAATTAAGTGTCGAAACTGAAAGTGAAAAACAAGTTTCTTGAAGAATTAATTTGAATTTTAAATTATTTGAAAGAAAAAGGTATTTTAATTTCTGCATTTAATATTTATAAATCATGTTATGTGGTTTATTTGATAAACAACATTATTAGTTTTGCAGTAGAATTTCATGATCAAGGGTTTCTTTTGTGGTGAATTGAATTTAAAATTTGCTACTCCTCAATGGGTTTTGTGAGTTGTTTATTGTTTAAAAAAATTCAGCTATTACATGTTTCGGCTGCAGCCGTAATTCTTGAGCTGTGAAATTATTTTGACAAGTTTAGTACAAATATCAATCTTTTAAAATATCAATTTTTTCAAAATAATAATTTTCAGTTGAAAATTTTATAATTTATAGCTACATTTTTACACAAAATTTGACAATAGAATTAAAAAAATTCTCACTATAAAAATTAATTTGATAAAAAAAGTTATATTCAACTGTCAAATTGTGTTCAAAAATTGTTTCGTGTAAAAATGTAACCTTTGAATAATTTTCTCAAGAAAAATTGTTCATTTGAAAGAAAAAATATTAAAAAAAAAAGGTTTTTGTGTACTAATTCTATGTCAAAATGATTTCACAGCTCATGAATTATGGCTGTAGAGAGGGATATTGTTTTTTTCTTTAAATAATAAACAACTCACAAAACCCATTGAGAAAGAGCAAATTTTAAATTCAAATCACCATGAACATTATATGTGTCGTTCTCAATATTTTTAATATTATTATATAATATTATATTTTTTTAACGTTTCCAACATGCTCGTCATTATTAGGTTGTGGAAGAAATATCCTGAAAGTAAAGAATGAATCCGAATCAAAACACGTCTGCGTGTAATGCAGCGCCTGATGTCATGAGTCTCAGGTTGCGTCACTGAATAACCTGCGTGCTCCGTTGCGCGCCAGTAGATCTGTCAAAGACACACCTGAGCAACTCCCAGAGAGTTTTCTAGAAATTTTTTCACCCCTTTCCCACCAGATCAACGTTTGTGACGTTCGGGGGGTGCAAAGGCGGTCCAGATGGGCCTCGGCAGGGTCGTGGGCCGCCAGATGTGGCCGCAGGTGGCCTCAAGGATTGCTCGATTGAGCAACTTCTGAAGGCGCTTTATTTAGTCTCGAGAGCTCGGCCGGCCAGGAATTCCTCGGCTATTTCAGCAATTTCACTCCAAAGACCTTTGCGCTGAGTAAATTGTAAAATATTTTTCGTCGAACAAGAATGTCTGCACATGGTCAATTGCCGCCGCTTGTTATGCTCTAGAAAGGCGAATAAGTAATCTGTGAAATTAAATGTGCTAAAACCAAGGAGAAAATTTTTATCAGCTACCAAAATGGGGCTTCTTGAGACAAGTAATTATCTTCAAACGTGCCTTTCTGTAGTGATTTCCCGCCTGATCGACTCCAAAACATTCAATAATGGGTCTAAAAGCCTTTCCAATTGAAGAAAAAAAATTCCTCTGCTAATTACGAGTTAATGAAAAATAAAATTACTGCTTTAAATTGCGATTTTGATTAAATTTTCAGTAGAAAACTCCAATCTTAATTAATTTTGTTGGTCAATATTTGGGAAGCAAATAATATTTTTAGTTTGTTGGCTGTAAAATAAAAATATTTGTTTATAGTTTTCAAGAAAAATAGGAAAAATTGTTCCAGGTGATGTTATTTTATGTTAATTTTAAGCAATAAATATAAATTTTCCAAAGTATTCAACCTAGAGTGTCAAAAGGAACCACAATATATGTGGACACGTCGCCACTTTTTATATCTTTCTTTTTGCAAATTCGAAGCTCGCGTGATGAATTTTTTAGGGGTGGCATGAGGAGGTCGAGCTTTGTGAGTCACATGAGACGGCAGTATTGATCACGGCAGCAGCAGACCCATGGTCTCTTTTGCTCTCTCTCTCGGCAGCAGCATTTTAGACAAAACGGTTGTCGCCGAAAAAGGACTTGCCTGAATTTCAACACCTTCGCCAAGTTGGTTAATTAGTGCTGCGGCTTAATCATTTCATTTTCTATAATATGGACTCTGGAACCGCCGGCAATAAACATATAAAACGCCGAGTCCATATCAAATAAAAAAAAAAAAAGATTGGCCCTACTAATTGCTTCTCGCGCGAATTGCGAAACGCTCGGCATAAAAGGTGCGAAACTTTTTATTGCTGTCTGAGATTGATTTTTTACTGAACATTAAAAAATTCTTCTCAACATTCGGCGAGTGGATAAAAACATAAGGATGTTACAAATAAAAACGCCGAAACACTCAAGAACATTTCCAAAACATGAAAGAAACGATTCACATACAAGATTTCAATTTTCACCTACCTTATTATGTAAATTTCAATAAAAGATTATTTATAGAAAGATCGTGTGTTCTTGAAATTGATAAGTTTGTTCAGTAAAAGAAAACATCTTACGCAAGTGACTAAAAATAAAAAATATGCATTCAATTCAAAGTTTTTTATGCCATTGATTTCCACCAACGATTTTTTTTTTTATCAAAAATCTTTTTATCACAATAACTATTTTAATTTTTTAATTCTGCTTCTTAAAAAGTCCCACGAAACCTCTGCAATAGTGAAAGAAACCACAAAACCACGTTCTGACCGATACACCCGCCGCTTCCAAGATTTGCGAGCTGTGGTTTTACTCGACAAAAACATATATCCATGTTAAAATAACCCTGCTGCATATGAATTATATGATGTTTTCAGAGAGGAAATCCAATATTTGCTGTTGAAATATTTACCTGGCGGAAGCAGAGAAACAACTTCTCTGACAGTGCAAATAGCCACTTTGTACCCGCAGAGATAAATTGTAATCGAGAAGCAGCAGATTGACTTATTTTGCTGCTCCTCCAAAACCAGTCGTTGTTGGTTTATTTTTATTTTATTCGCCTCCGAAGGTCCGAAGCAGTCTGCGTCGTGCTCGCTGGCTCGGAATGGCGGCTGCGGATAAAAAATTCCTGGTGCACCGACTGTTCAGAACGTTTCCAGTGAAAATGCACCGGCGGCCGGTGTGATTGTTAATAACAAAGACTTCCTCCGTCGCCTAGTCTGGAGGTAGCGGAGCATTTCGCGCCGCACACAAAGCCTCACAATTAGCACCCAGTGTCCAGACGGACTGAAAAAGCCAGACGGAAACGCATCACTGATTTTGTTCTCGAGAGACAATAAAATTACAAGTATTTTTATCTTTTAAGCAGAAGTGAGTGCGAGTTGGAATTTTTTTCTGTCAAAGAAAAAACAATTATAAGCATCCAGGGGACTGTTTTGCTTGGTTGAAAAGACAGGGAGAAGAATCCCTTTCAAAAGAAATCTTAACGTGGATTCGCAGAAACTATGAGCGAGAAAACCAGTGCTCGGAAAACAAATTAAAATGTCAAAATTTCAAAATTTAATTCTTTTAAAAACAGATTACTGTATCCAAATAATTTTCCAACGTGAACCTCGACCAACACTAACCTCTTCAGGGTGCTGCCATTTGTCTTAATTTTTTTAGTTTTAAGCGGAAAATTTATTATTTTGGAAACAGAAATCTAAATCTGTTTTGAAAAGAATTGAATTTTCCAATAAAAGTTTGGACCTTTTATTGGTTTTCTGAATCCACGATAAATATCTTTTGAAAAATTAAAACGGAAACTGGAATAAACTTAACAACGCAAACAAGAAGTAACTCTACACAAAAAATTACAAAAAAACACACTCACACTAACAAAGAGA